AACATAAAGGAGGTGAAATCATGCATCTTGAATGAAGGTGTATATCAATTAATCAGAAAACAAAACAAAAATCATAAAACTCGTAATAAAAAATCCAAACAGGTTCATTTGTAAGATAAGGGAGATGAAAGAGATTAGGAAAGAACTTTTCAGTTGAAAAACGTCGAGAGAGCTACTGGAAAGACAAACTCAAACAAAACCCTTAGCATGCATCTAAACGCAGAGTTTCGGTAAGTTGTTACCGTACCAGAAATCAGACAGAACATTAAACCAGTCCACACGTTTCAAGTTTTGATGACATGGCCTCTTGAGGGAGAGGCAAAAACTCCCTCATTATATATATAACTAGATTTTGACCCGCGCTTGAAAGCGCGGAAATTTTTTTTGTTTAAAAGTTTATATAATTAGGTTTTGTCTTTATTTAAAGTATGTTTTAATATAAAATCAGTAATCCAAAATTTGTGGTGATGATTGTTTTGCATTAGTTTAGAGTTTCAGTTTTTTTTTTTTTTAGATTTGGTTTTAGATTTTGGTTTTTGGTTTTTAATTTTTAAGTTTCTAGTTTTGATTTTTCAGCTTTTGGTTTGGGTTTTTAGCTTTTAGATCCGCTGAGTTAGTTTGAACTCATAATTACCAACAAACAAATCCTAAAGAATCGAACATCTAATTTAAAACTGAAAAGATGACAATTTTTATTTAAAAAAATTGCAATAGTTTATTTTGTAAATAAACAAAACAAAAGCTACCCTTGAAATTTATCAGCTTTTGGTTTTGGATTTTAAGCTTTTGATTTTGGATTTTAATTTTTAGATTTGGTTTTTAGTTTTGCTTTACATTTATTTTTTTTAAAAACAATAAATTATTTAAGAAAAATAAAAAAATAAACTATTATAAAAGTTACCATTGAAATTTATCAAGACAGAGTGATTATTTAAAAATATATATATATTAACATGTTTTAAAGTACATGATTTAAATAAGTGATTAATAATATATAATTTTGTTTTGTTAAATATTAATACTTTTGGGCCTTAAAATAGTAATTGATTTTTTGATCCATTAAGGTAGAACATATTTATTCAATGTTTTTTGGAGTTTTTCTTTAATACTAAGCCCAAAACCCAAATTATATAATTTGTCATAAAAACAAAAGTAAGCCCAAAACTCTATTCCATAAATAACTGCCGGTTTAATTTAAGTAATGCGGTCCAATCAACTATATGACTTGTATTATTTGTAAAATTCTAGAAAAAGTCTAAGAAGGTGTTATTGGTTTGTATATTTTAGTGGATTTGAAAATACAAATCAAATATAGTGTTATTGGTTCTATGATTTTAAAATCTATATTCAAATTCATTGTTATTGGTTCTATGATTTTAAAATCTATATTCAAATTCACTGTTATTGGTTCTATGATTTTAAAAAAGATTTTAAAATCAAGTGTTATTCAATAAT